AGAGAATAATGCATACTCCTAATGGTGAAGAATACTGGCAGGATTTTAGGGACAGGGCGCAGCACAGCACAGGACTCCAGTCTGCAAGTGTGTCATTCTGGTAGCTGCTGTTTCAACATCATTATCACAATCTGTAGCTCAGTGGGAAATCGGAAAGCTGAGACAGCTGCCCAGCACCGTTCTTGATAAAGCTGGAGTGTTTCAGAAGAAGCAGCCCTTAGCCAATCTGGAACTGGCTCACCATGAACTCTGTATAATGTGTCGGTGGGAAAGGAGATTCAAATCCAGCTAAGTTTTGAATGGGAATATCACTGAAGACGAGTGGCTGTAGTGTTCAAATGAGTGAGGAGAGAGACACCTGAGATGAATGGCACAGAGCAGGGAAACTTCTAAGAAGTACAGGCTGGTCAAGATTACTTGTTCTGCTGAAGCTGTGGCGTTTTCACTCCTGCTGCCCCTTTTCCTGTTGCCTCATCCCTCTTGATGCTGGAAATCTGAGTTTAGCCAGTGCAGGATATGTTGGCTTTCCTCGGTCAAGACTGTGTTACCCTGCTGCTGGGGAGTTTTTACAGACGAAGTGGAAAGCTCCTGAGAACAGTGTGATGAGAAGTTAAACAAATGATGGCAGAGCGACTTATGCAGTTGGCGTTCGGTCCTTGTTCATTAGAGCATCTTTGCATAAGGCACCTGTTTACCAGTGCAAACCAGAACCTCCCTGCATTGAGACTGTGCATTGGCATATTAGCAGGTTGCAGCTCTGCCAACTTTATGGGGCTCCTTGGTGGGACTCTACAGGCAGGAGAGGGAGGGATTCTTGGTATCAGAGTTCTCCAACTGCAGCATATAGTAATTTCTTGCATTGAAGAGACTGCTTTTCTCTACCCACTCCCCCTCCCCTTTCCTATAAATGGTCCCTAGTACACATGACAGCGTTGCCATGGTTGGCAAGACAAAAGGTTTATCGGACAAAATGGCAAGTGGCAGGCTGATGCATGGCCATGCAAAACTGTGGTTACTCAAAACTGTATTCCATGGTAGCCAAAATGGTATATAGAATATGAAGTGTGGATACTCAAAACTGTGGTTGGCGAGGGAAACCTGTACTGGGTTTGTGGTTACTACCTGTGGAGATTGCTTTGCTTTAATCAAGCACATTTCTAAAGCACCTTTTCTTTTCTAGGTGTGAATCAAGCAGGGCCTCCAGGCAGAATAGTTTCACAGCCCTCTGGGTTTCATGGAACTGGGAAGCGTGATGGGAATGATGCTGAAAGTAGTTGTTCTTGAACAAAGAAACTGCTGCTGACAAGAAGTGCTCAGTGCCTTCAGTTCTTTTTTCTGTCCCTCTACAGCTTGCTTTGCTCCCCTTTTGCTGTCAGACTCCCATAACAAGCCTGGTTTCCTGTGTTGTGTATGGTGTTCAGTTCTGTTCAGGTGCATCAAAAAATAACAGCAGCTGATCTTAGGAGTTCACCATGGCAACAAAATAGACCAAATTAGCCTAGCAAATTATGGGCAAATTAGACTTGCAGAAAGGTCACTTGGCCTCTGTAGCACAATGGTCACTTGGCCTCTGTAGCACAATCTTTCCCTCTGTAGCACAATGGCTGCCTGTTACTATTGTTGATCATGAAGGAACATGTGCATGTGTTCCTCTTGTCTCCTTCCTACTGTATCTCTGCCAGCTTGCCCTTATAGCCTCCAAACCCAACTGTTCCTGGGACACTGGTGAACTGACTTGGTTTCCACAAGGGTAGGAGAGGGGGAGGACTTTGCTGGGATGATCAGGTGCTTAGGACGTGGAACCTGTGGTCAAAGGGGGATTCCTCAAAGCAGTGAGGGGCAGCTTTTTCCTGCCCTTAAGGCACTTGAGGCCTGATGTAAAACCCAGTAAGGAGGAGCTGGGTCTTGGATGCAGAAACCTTCCGGCAACCTGCTACATCACACCTTGGCATTATGTGCAGAGGAGGTTGGCAGCAGCTGGGATTTGCACTACTATCTGGGTGAAGCAGTAGTGCAGTTTAATAGTGGTATGTAGCTGTGTGTGATGGTATTTGTTCTCAAGCTGACTGGGGAAGATGAGGGGAAGGCAAAGTTGTGATGACACTTTGGTCAGTATAGTTTTAATCTGCTGGCTCAACTGAAACCAAGAAGGCCTGGAATTTTATTATAAGGTTCTCCTTGCCCCATCTTGTCTCCCAACTTCTCTGCAGTTGAGCATCTCTTTGGAGAGTTTCCTTTTCAGATTTACCAAGGTGGTTTTTATCTGGTCTGTCTGTAACCTTGTTGTTTGTACTATGCCTAGAGTCATCATGTGAGTCTGCAAGCTAATACAGTACATTCATGCAGAAGGAAACCTTCCTGGCCCTAAATAGCTTATGGACCAACCCATGTTGAGAGGCAATGATTTGCCTATGGTCACACAGCAGTCCATAGATTCACAGATTCATAGATATAGGGACGGAAGGGACCTTGCAGATCTTTTAGGCTGACCCCCTGCCCTGGGCAGGAGAAAAAACTGGGCTCAGATGACCCCAGCTACGTAATCGTCAAGCCTCCTCTTAAAGACCTCCAAGGTAGGAGCCAGCACCACTTCCCTTGGAAGTTGGTTCCAGATCCTAGCCGCCCTGACAGTGAAGTAGTGCCTTCTAATGTCTAGTCTGAACCTACTCTCTGACAATTTATGGCCGTTATTCCTTGTTACTCTGGGAGGTGCTCGGAGGAACAAGGTGTCTTCCATTCCCTGCTAGTCCCCGCTAGTAAGTTTATAGACAGCCACCAGGTTCCCTCTCAACCTTCTCTTATGGAGGCTGAACAGGTTAAGGTCCCATAGCCTCTCCTCATAGGGTCTGCCCTGCTGTCCCTGGATCTTGTGAGTGGCCCTCCTCTGGACCCTCTCAATGCTGTCCACATCCCTCCTGAAGTGCGGTGCCCAGAACTGGACGTAGTACTCCAGCTGCGGCCTGACCAGTGTCACATAGAGGGGGAGGATCAGTTCCTTGGCCCTGCTTGTGATGCATCTGTGGATGCACGACAAGGTGCAGTTAGCCCTATTGACTGTATCCGCGCATTGGTGGCCCATGTTCATCTTGGAATCGATAATGACTCCAAGATCTCTTTCTGCCACCGTGCTTTCAAGAAGGGAGTTTCCCAGCCTGTAGGTATGCTGCTGGTTCTTACTGCTCCAGTGCAGCACCCTGCACTTGTCAGTATTGAATCCCATCCTATTCTCATTCACCCACCCCTGTAACCTGTCCAGGTCCAGCTGCATCCTGTCCCTCCCTTCTAGTGTGCCCACCTCACCCCAAATCTTGGTGTCGTCCGTGAATTTAAGCAGGGTGCTTTTCACCCCCTCGTCCAAGTTGCTGATAAAGAAATTGAACAGTGTGGTCCCAAGGTCCGAGCCCTGGGGGATTCCACTGTCCACATCCCTCCAGGTCGAATATGACCCGTCCACCACCACTCTCTTAGTATGACCCCTCAGCCAATTAGCTATCCATCTGACTGTAGGCCTCAGTGCCACAGTCACCTATCTTTCTAATGAGAATGGGGTGGGTGAGTGTCAAAGGCCTTCCTGAAGTCCAGAAACACTACATCCACTGCGACACCTGCATCCAATGATTCTGTGACCTGATCATAGAAGGCAATCAGGTTGGTCTGACAGGACCTGCCTCTAATGAACCCATGCTGGTTGCCCCTGAGCATTATCCCCACTGCTGGTCCTTCCCACATGTGTTCCTGGATAGTCTTCTCAAAAAGCTTCCCTGGGATCGAAGTAAGACTAGCGGGCCTATAGTTGCCTGGGTCCTCCCTCCTCCCTTTTTTGAAGATGTGGACCACATTGGCCCTCTTCCAGTTGTCCAGCACCTGGCCAGAGCACCACAAGCACTCGTAAAGCCGTGCCAGGGGCCCTGCGGTAACCCCTGCCAATTCCCTCAACACCCTGGGGATTGGCACCCTGAGGGATGTGGAGAGCATCTGGATCTGCTGATTTGAACACATCCAGCTCCTCCAGAAGTTCTCTAACCTGGTCCTCCCTGACCCTAGGCCTGGTGGAGTCTCTCATGAGTCCATCCCAAATCCCAAATCTCGGTGGGGGAGTCCCGGTCCCTGCACAAGAAAATGGAGGCAAAGAAATTGGTAAAAAGGTCTGCTTTTTTCTCTGGTGCAACCACCAGATTGCCTAGCGTATCCTGCAGGGGCCCCACATTACCCGGTGCCTTCTTCATACTCCCTATATATTTAAAAAAGGACTTTTTGTTGTCCTTGATGCTAGCCCTAGGTCCATATCTGCTTTAGCTTTCCTAACAGCCCCCCTACAGACCCAAGCGATGGAGGTATACTCCTCTTTGGTGATAGCCCCTCCCTTCCACTGGGTGTATGCCTCCTTTTTGGCAATCAGGCATTCCCGAATGCCCTTGGTGAGCCAGGGGGACTTTTGGGCACTCTTGCCCACTTTGATTCTCATTGGGATTGTCACCCCTTGGGCTCTGACTATTGTCTTGTTAAGGAACGACCACTCATCTTGGGCACCCAGTTCCCCTACTCTCCAGGACCCCAGTACCTCTCCTACCAGTCTCCTCAACTCATTGAAGTTGGCCCTCTGGAAGTCAAAGGCTACTGCCTTGCTGCAGGCCCTTGACACCCTGTGCTGGATGGTGAATTCCAGCAGGTGGTGATCACTGTCACCCAGGTGGTCAAGAACCTGGAGTCCCCTCACTAGGTCGTCGCCTGTGGCTGAATCTTCCTGACACTCAGTCCAATGCCCACTCTGAGGCCACACTGCTTCTTGTGCTATCTACCCATAGCAAGTTGCATGCCACACAAACCTAGAACAGATTTTCCCCTCTGTCCCACTTTGAGCAGAGCAAAATGTGCAAGTTTGCAATTGCATGTGTGTGTATTAAGGTAGAGAGAATCTCCACAATTGCCTTTGAACTTGCATGCACCTGAGACCACCTCAAGCATGGAATGTAACTACTGAATTTGTACTTGTTTCAAAGGTGAAGGACTGTGAAGAGCCTGCAAGTTCTGAAGCAGTGAAGATTTTGGAACTGGGGGCCATGAAGCGGCTTCCATAGATTGCTTGTTGCATCTCTTGTGACTTGAAGGGAAGGGGTCACAGAACTGCACAGTGGACTGCACAGTGGACCTGCCTCTCTCATCCACCAGAGTGACCCTGAAATATCTTTGCCTTCAGGAATCCTGCCGCATTCCAGTGGTGGCACCGAGACTGACTAGAATCTGATGACAAAGGATACTGAACCAGGCACTATGGGTTCCCATCTGTCTGCTTGTTTAACTCAGTGCACAAATATACCAGTGACAATCACGAACAGCTATAGAAGTCTTAACTAGAACTGGATTTACAGAACCAGCTAGTTACAGGCAGTGGGTTGTTGTGCTCAACAGCCAAAGTCTGAATCTAGCCGTTCCACTCCTAGTAGGTTAACAATCCTCCAGTCCCCTGCCCCTCAAAAAGAGGGAATCGTATAATTGACACCAAAGAGATAGCAAAAGTACCCTATCCAACATGCTGGGCCAGGGTGCTTTGGCAGATTGCACTATTTAATATCCTGTGGCAGCAGGGGCCATTCTTAACAGTGCCTGGAGCCCTGGTAAACAGCGTAATACATTTTAGGGTGTTCCTTTCTTCTGTATATTTCAGTTGCTTCTCTTCAAAGAAGAGGCAAGAGACAGCGACCCCACTCTGCCCAGGGGTCTTGAACTTCCCCCTCACACCCCTCGTTATCCTTTTCTCTTTCTATCCACCCAAAGGCTGAAGATAGCCAGATGAGACATATCACAGGTGGGATTTAGTGTGCTCTTATCCTATTTTGTGTTCACTGCACCAGGATGGATAGACTGTAAATCCCTTTCCACAGGGCAGCGAGTGAATCTTTTCCTACGTCAAGGCAAGACCTTGATTGCAGTGCCTCTTTCTTCCCTGATGCCTGAAGCTAGTACCTCCTTCCTTGTTCCCAAGATGTTTAGTTAGAAACCTAATTGCACACAGGCTCCCTAGTTTTGGAGCTGTGGTTATCTCTGGCAGCAGCTATAGTTATTATTGGCAGCCTGGGGCCAGGTCACTAGCAGAGGCTGAACATCTTCACTGGAAGGGTACAGTGTAGCTGTTGGGGTTGGAGATTTTTTCCCTGCAGATATTACTCCTGTGGCTGCTTGCCAAGTGCCCCTCTTCTCCACTGCTGCTGTGACAGCAGGAATATCACATTGGTCCATGAACATGGCCCTGCCAGCTGTCCTTGCTAAGGATGTAGCTGCAGAACACTAGACTAAAGGGTAGCTTGAGAGAGTAATAGGCCAGCATCCCTTGTCCTGCCAGGTGCCTGGGTGCACAATGGGCCGCTTGGATGACCACGCCAAGAAGCGGATTGTAGAGCTGCGCAAAGCTGGGCTGAGCTTCCGCAAAATCAAAAAGGTCCTGGAGCTGGACAACATCCGAGTGACCCCCCAAGCCGTCTACCTGTTCCTGAAGCGAAAGAATGTGGAGCCTGCCCAGTCCCCAACTGCCTCCCATCCCCAGCCAGCCGTGGGCCGGGGGAACAGGACAATGACCATCAATGGATCTGGCTGGGAGGACGAACAGCTCTGGAACTTGCTGCAGGAAAATGAGACTGAACAGAGCAAGCAGCTGGAGCCCGTGGGCAGTAGGCAGTCGGGTGCCAGGTCCCCAGTGACCCCTGGAGAAACTGTTGTGAGCTGTGAGAGGCTCTCCATCCGTGACAACCAGGACAGCAAGGAAGGCATCAAAATTGTCAGTGTGACTTCACTGTGCAAGGACAGTGGGCAGTTTGGAAATGTGTCTGCTGCACCAATGGGCCCCTCTCCAGGGCCACAGCTGACCCCCAGTAATAGTAAGGCCTGGCTGTTTCCTATCTGTTCGGTTTTTGTATGGGATCAGGTGGGCTTCCTCACTTCCACATGCATCCTGGAGATGGCTGAGCCCCATGGTGGCTCTAAGGGTCTCCACTCATATCCCAGCTTTCCAGCCCCAGACAAGCAGGCAAAGCTCAAAGACCCTGTGGTATGTTTGAGGTGGGGAGTTGTGTGCTGACACTGAAGGGCTTAGACCCTGTGGTGGGAGTTTGGGGAGAGTATGATGAAGGGGTCTTGGCTGTCTTTGTAAGGTGTGTATTTTGGAAGCGACTCTCCATTCATGGGCCTCATGTCATAGTCTCTGGCTACTCTTCAGTCAATGCAGGTGATGACTGCTCTGTGACTCAACCCTCTCCTTTGAGCAGCCGCTCAGCTCTGCTTCCACCGGCATCCTCCCAGCACCAGCTGAACAACAGGGGGAAAATATTTCTGCCCCCTGCCAGGAACCCAGCCTTAATTGTGAAGAAGAAGATTGTAGATAGAGCCATCCACCTCCAGAAAAAGGTACAAGTCTGGGAAAGGCAAGTAGGCTATTGGGTGGCTACTGTCCTTTCCTCCAACAAAGCAAAGAATCTGCTTAGGAAAGATGTAGGATATTAGAATGGCTCTAAAGTGCTGGGGATGCATCCGCATCTTCCTCCTGCCCCAGGACAAAGTGGCTCTGTGGAAGCTGCTGTGTTCAGGAGTAACAAGGACCATAGGCTGCTATCAGGACCTCCTCCTCATCTGGTCTAATCCATGGAGTTCCAGGAAGGGGCATGTATGGCTTTCTAGCATAAAACCCAGCTAGACAAAGCCTTGGCTGGGATGATCTAGTTGGGGATGGTCCTGCTTTGAGGAGGGGCTTGGACTAGATGACCTCCTGAGGTCCCTTCCAACCCTAATTTTCTATGATTGTATGAAATGCAGTGGACAATCCTGAGAGGGAACTGGTGACTCAGGGAAAGGCATCCTTGAGGTACCGCTTTGCTTCAAGAGGCTAATGTTTTTTGACCACTTAAGAGCCCTGTGTCCTGTATTTGCTACTAACTTGGGGAAGTCACTTCCTTTCTGTATGCCTTAACCATTTGCCAGAGGAGGAAGAATGGCGACCTCACAGCAGAGGTAGGAGGCTGGTCATGACAGATGGAAAAGAACTTGGAGGCCTCTTCTGAGGAGGAATTCTAAACCCTCTCCTAACTGAGGGGATGCTCAAGGAACACCTACAAAATAGGCAGATGATGTTCCCCCACTAATCCCCCCCTTACTTCAGACCCTTGTAACTGGGGTAACCCCAGCCTGCACAGAAAATGTTCACTACTCTGCCAGCCTTGAAAAGATCCTAGTTTCTGGAAGTGCCTGGCCTGATGGCCCTGAAGTCTATGCTGCTTGGGCTTCCAGACAATGGGTTTAACCCCCAAAGAAGACTGCAGAAATGTCTCAGGTGATGGTTTTGTTTCATTGAGGTCTGTGCTTGAGAGCTGAGTTGGATGGGGAGGGGAATAGCAAATGGTGCTGCAGGTCAAGCTTGAGGGAGAGTAACAGACATGAGGGGAGGGGGCCTATGGCTGTGGGATGCTGGTCAGAACAGAGTCCCCCTCTATCGGTTGTGTGCACCACACAGCCTCTTTGGCACTAGGCTCATTTGCAATATATCTTGTCTCACACAGGTATGTTTGATGTTTGTATTTCTCCCACCCTGACTAGGTGAACATTCAGAACGGGCAGAATCCATCTGGCTCTACAAGTGTCCTGCCTTTTGTGGTAGGAGTGCAGCCAGGCAGCCAGCCTCCCAGGATGAACCCAGCTACCATGGCAGCTTCCACGAACCACCACACACAGGCAAGTGATGTAAGGTTGATGGGTCCCAATACAGAGTACAGTGTCATTGCCCATGGGGTGAATGAATCTGGAGCTTGCCTTTAAGACCAGGATGGAGCACCACCACAGAACAGGACCTGGCATGGTCAAAGTCTGTCCTTCACTTGTGCTCTTAACAAATCTGCGAGTGGACTCTGATCCATTAGGGGCCCAGTAATGGGAGGCAGTGATAGCAAGTTAAAATGTAAGCCTGAGAGAGGATGGACTTGGCAAACACCATTCTAGTGGCAGCACCTCTGCTCCAGAGTAAAGTAACAACAAGTCAGAGGCAAAGCTGAACATGACCAAGCCTGATGTTTTGCATATGGGAAAGCCACATGCTAGATCTGCCATTGCTGGAACAGCCTGCTGCAGCCTCCATTCCTTGTCCCAGGTGTCTCGCTTGCTGTAGTGAACTCCACTGTCTCCTGTCAGGGGATGGTTTGGGGAAAGAGGGTCCATGAGCGTGCCCAAATGAAGAACCCTTCTCCTGAGTAGCCTGCCGTGAAGTTTGTATCTAGCCCCCACCATTTCTCTTCAGGCTGCTGACTGCTTTAGCCTCCTATGAGAGCCTAACTAGAGACTTCTCCCATCTGTCCTAGAAGGTTTGGGGGCGGGGGGGTGGGAATTGTCCTGTATTGGAAAGGCAGGAGTCACCTGGCTAGTGTATCCACACAGATTCCCAAGGCCCCTTCCTTGCTTCCCAAGAGATACGTTTCCTACCAGACCAGAATATCCTTGGGCCCTTTGTAGACAGCAGCTTGGCCTTTCATTTCAGGTTTGGTACTGCATCTTGTGGGACTTGGCATAAAGAGCACACAAGATCTAAGGTGTATTGACACCTTTAAACAAAAGTACTTTCCCAAAACAACATATGTAATGTTCCTCATTTCATGTCAGGAAAGGAGAGAGAGAGAGACTTAGCAGGTGTAAGGCATGCTAAATGTCTGCCAATGGTAATCCAATAGTATATGGGAACAAAGGAGGGCTGTAAATTGGTCCAGACCACAGTGGGGTTCAACTGCCTGCACTAAGGCTGGTGCTAGCAGGCTGCTTCCTTTCCTCATGTTCCTACCCAATAACTCAGATAGTGTCCTGACTCAAATAGGTCTCTCCTGTCCAGCTGATTGGCCAAGGAATGGCTGCCCCCTCACTGCCTTTCTGATCTCTTTCCTTCCTCCCTCAGGTCAAAGATGCCAGCTCTCAAACTGTCCCGCTCAGTGGTGCTAGTCCTCTGGGCAGTCAGAACTCAGTGTGGGGAGGGCAGATGCTTGCCATCTCCCAGAACCCTCTTGCCATTGTCGAGAAGCTGGATGCACTACATTCAGAGATCCAGAAACTGACTCACACCATGCAGGCTGTGCTAGAGAGGCAATGCAGCATGGAGCGCCAGCAGGAGCAGCAGCAGCGTTTCCAGCAAGAAGTGCTTATGACGCTTCAGCAGCTCAGCTCCACAGTCAGCCACGGGACAGTGCCAGGAAACCAGCCCTGTGTCCCTTTCAGCAGCATGGCAGATCCCTCACCCACTGTACCAAACTTCAGCCAGTTCAAGATGGAGATCATCTAATGCAAGGTAAAGGCCAACAGGTCTCAGTGGGTCTAGGAAGGAGAGTGGCAGCAGGGACCAACTAGCAGAAGATCCTAAGGGACATGGGCATTCTCACTGCAGATTGCTCCTGACACTCTTCCTGCAAAGGTAGAATGCTGGGCAGCCAGTACTACCTTGAGGCTTCATCTGCTCTGATCTAGTTAACCAGGAGCTGCTACCTGCTGGAAGAGGCACATGCTGATGGGAAGTTGTAACCAGCTTGTTTTAAAAGAAAGCCTTAATTCTACTCCTCTGTGCAGCAAGTGAGTGCTGGCTTGGCCAGCAACATACAGGGTCAATTGCTGGGGTGTTCCAGCTTCAGTGCAGCAAAAACACAGTTAGGCTGTAGGCTCTCCTTTGCTCAGAGGAAACATCTCTTAATGTTTACACTCTTGGGGGAATGAGCACCTGGAAAACCAGCCTGGGAGGACACTTCATGCTTTTTCCTCTTACGAATCTCAGTAAAGTCTGTATGTGCTCTGGAACCTCCTGAACTCTGTTCCTGGGTAGGTTAATTTGCACCACCATCTCATCTATAGAGAAGTGCTTATATAGAAGTGCTGCTGACTTTCCGCCTGCCCCACTCCAGTACTGCTCATGGATGCCAGGGACTCAGCCCTGACCTTCAGCTATCCCTGCTTACTCTGCTCTGTCATGGCAACTAACTCCTCAGCTTAACACTGTCTGTTGCAATAATTCTGGTCCTCTTTGGATGTGTCTACATATGCAATTGCAGAGCCTGAATAAACCGTGGAGCTTATTTCATAGATTTCATAGACATTAGGGCTGGAAGGGACCTTGGAAGATCATCAAGTCCAGCCCCCTGCCCCAGGGGCAGGAAGTCAGCTGGGGTCATAGGATCCCAGCAAGATAAACATCCAAATTTCTCTTGAAGGTATTCAAAGTAGGTGCTTGAACCACCTCTGGCGGCAGTCTATTCCAGACCTTAGGGGCTCGGACTGTAAAGAAGTTCTTCCTTACGTCCAGCCTGAAATGGTCCTGAAGGAGTTTGTGACCATTTGACCTTGTCATCCCCTGGGGTGCTCTGGTGAACAGACATTCCCCCAGATCCTGGTGAGCACCCCTGATAAACTTATAGGCAGCCACCAGATCGCCCCTGAGCCTGTGCTTTTCCAGGGTGAAGAGTCCCATAGCTCTCAGTCTCTCATCATAAGGTCTGTTTTCCTGACCTCTGATCATGCACGTGGCTTTCCTCAGCACTCTCTCAAGCTTCTTCTTATTGCTTTGGAGTTAATTGCTTCTGGGTGCACATTCAAATGGCACGCCTGGGAGCAATTAACTCCAGAGCAATAAGCTCTGCAGTTTACTCAGGCACAGCATGTGGAGCCCAGGCAGAGCAGCCGCAGTTGGCAGGGGGCCCAGGGAGTCATCAGCTTGCCAGCCCAGGGCTGCTACTCTGACCCAGTGTGTTGCAGAGACTGGTTGGGGCATGAGGGAGCTTCAGTGCAGGGCTAGCTGCCAGGCAGCCCCTGCACTGAAGCACCCTTGTGCACCAGCCAGCCAGGCAGTGTCTACACATGTACTGCTGCAGAGTTTTTTACTTTGCAGCAGGATAGTACTTGTAATTTACAACTACTATCCTGTTATGGAGTAAATTAGTTTATTCCAGCCTAATAGAGGTGCATGTATAGATGCCAAGATGTTTACTGCTTAGCTAATTAATCAACTGCACAGTAAACATTTTGTGTGGACATGCCCTCTGGATGTTAAATGAGTGCCTGCGGCAGCAATTCATGTATGGACAAAAAAAACCAAGCCCATTCAGTGTTTGACCAGCAGAGGGCAATAGTAGCATGCATTATTTTCTGCACTTGGGCAATAAGCTGGCCTACTAAGCTGTTCTCTAGTGGAGTTCTCCCTTTAAGTGTTCAGGGACAGAGAGAAGACTCCACTGTCTGGAGTGGCTGCTGCTTTTAGAGCCAACCATTTACAGCTAGGGCTATTTACCCGCCTGAGGCAGAAATACTGAATAGTTTGGGGCATGTAAATATGGTGCCTCTGAACCATATTCAAGCACCTATCACAGGATTGGTGCTGCAGTGGAAAGATAGCGTTTTCCCTACATGTACAACCATAAGGATGCAAATTAAGAACTGGACTTGCTGGTAAGTTTACAGCAAAGATAAGACAGCCTCACTGTTAATCTTTCCTTTGCCATCTCTCCACTTAACCCAGCAACAAGAGTTTTGGAGATAAGGCAACCTGCTTCCTTCTACCTTACCCCTCTCCAGTGGTGCATACCCAGAGTGAATCCCCTTCCCCTGTTTCCAGACCCCTGCAATGAAAAGTGCTCTTGGAGCCCTTATAGAGATCATTTCTTAAAATTCTTTTAGTCAGAGGCCAACAGAAGTGTAAAAAAATAAGTGTACAAAGCTACATTCTCAGGATCCATGCAACAGTCCTCATAGGAGGGAGCGGATGGCTTTGGACAGATAGCTTGCCTACCCACATAGATATGCAAGCTCTGCCAGCCCTTTCCCATGATGATGAATCTTGCTAGAAGAGTTCTGCCTGAAAGTTAGAAGTCTGCTGCAATCTGCCTGCGATCATTCATTTCAATGTTGGTATAATTCTGAGGATACCTAAAAGAAATGAGGGGAAAATGTGAGGTTAACAGCTGCCCTGTGAGAAGGAGCAAAGAGCTAGCCCCTCAGACATTAAGCCTGGTTGTTAATCTCATACAGTGGCTGTAAAATTACTGTATAAAATCCAGCCTTTATGGCTCTGATGGCTTTTTCAAATCCTTTTTGAATGTGGGTTCAGTTTTTTTTTTGGCTGAGATGTAAGGATTTTTTTCCTTTCTCATACTTAAACACTGAATACAGCCCCGTCAAACTGAGAGAAGCTCATAAAAAGAACATCTCTGGTAGTTACTAATTAATATCCCTTAACATTATGCTTACAGAAAGTTATGCTCTGAGAGGAATATGTTTCACTGCTGCTATTAAGCAGATACTTTTAATGTTTCTTTTGTCAATGGTAACATGGTAGTGACAGGAAGATCAGGATTGGCTTAAATACCTAATTTTGTACCTGTCCCCTCTCTCCACCAGTACCATGCAGAAAAGCAAGAGAGAGTAAGAGGTGCCAGGACAATAGGAAGACAAGATGTCTTCTTACCTTTTGATGTAATAGAAGGCTAAACCAGCAAGCACAAGTATGAGTAGTAGAGCTCCCAGGACAAAGAGGGCAATCCTCCAACCCTCTAAAGAGGCTGCAAAGGACAAAGAAATGGGCACTTAGGTGAATTATACAAAGTCTCATTCAGCTTTCCTAATTTCCCTTCAGGACAGTACATTCCTAACATGAAGACTGTAAGAAGCTTAAATTTTTGCTTCCTCTTGGATTTATGTCTCTGGAGGAAGCTCATGGCTTTGCTGGTGGGGGGTAAGAAGTGGTAGGCAGTCCCAAAGGAGGTAGCCATTCTGAATGCCATAAGGACCCCAAAAATGCATTCCTGTTACCAGAAGGAGATTATTTTAGCAGAAGGATATACTGTGTTGAGGACACACCACTGATTCTGCTCTTTGGAGCATGTACCTCTGGATGCAACATTTCTGTTCTACTTTGTCAACACATGGACATGAGATTCCTGAATATGAACTAAATGCAATTTATAAAACGCCATTGGTAACTTATTCTGCATTTTGGCCAGTGCGTCTAGGCAGGGTCAGAATTATTAGGGTACTGGACCCAGTACCAGCAAGGCACTAAAGCCCAAAGTCATAGAAGTGTTTAGGAACCCCACACAAATATATTTAAGTAGAAGTTAGACATAAATACCGCTGTGAATCTGAGCCTTAGATATAATAAGCTACTTCATCCCTTTTGACTAAGGAGAAGCTGCTGCTTCATCTTACCCTCCCATGCCCTGCATCTCTCTCAGGCCCCATTGGCTTCTACTGGACTAGTTCAGACAGCTGAGGTTCTACTAGTCTAAATTGTCCCCACAGTCTCATTTAGTTTCCAACACAGACATTCTAGCCCCATTATTATGCCCATGGTGCTTGCTTTCCTTTACTCACTGACACCTGATGCTTCTGATGCTGGCTCTTTTGGAGTGGCACACTCGACATTAGTCCTGAGCATATTCCCATCCACTGACAATGGATGTGGGCTGGAAGTGAATTCTTTACGCCAGCTGATGATTTCATGTTGTTGCTTCAGTGACCTGGCCCACACCTGGCCTGAGAGCTTCAATATAGAACCTATGCAGGTGAAGTTAAGTTCTGTAAGGAAGAGTGCAGAATGCAGCGTGAATTCCGGTGCAGAGTCAACGGACTGCCTCGGCATGATGCAGCAAGGTTTCTGGTGTCTTAAAACGAAAGTTTAGGTTATTGCAGTGCAATCTAATTCTAACCAGTTTGCCTCAAACCCAAATCCTAAACACCAGAGCTAGTCAACACCCTACCTTTCATCTCTAATTCTCTTCAGATTCTGGAGAAGACCTAGGTGTATTGTAACCAGCCTCCAACTCTGAACTCAATTTTGTGTTGTGCCTTTTTGGTACATCATAAAAAGGCCAATCAGATAAAACTCGACAGACTTTGACCTGAACAGGAGATGCAGCTTCCAAGGTCTCATCTTTGGAAAATAAAAAGAAATAGGAGCCACTCCCTTAAAATTAATACCTCTCACATCTGTCAAGAGCTGACTTGGCCTATGAGTTTCAGGAGCAGCTAGTAATTCTGTGTACCTTGAAAGGACTTAACACCTCCTTAACCATCCACAGAAATCTGAATTAACACTCCAAGTTGGGCCATATAAAAAAAATCGGGTGTCAAGTGTATGCTGTGGTCAGACTGCAGAAGAGAGACTCATGTTATGTATCCAAATCTGTGTGAAATATCACTTCTTGGCTAAAGAGCCAGGATCAGGGAGCTTTCACAGAACACAAAGGGTAGCAC